TGCCCCTTAACAACCAACTCCCATGCCATGCCTACAGCAACAAACCTTTTAAGTTAACTTCATCCCCCATAAATCACCATTTCAACGATCTGCACCAAACAACACATTCTCTCTAGTTTTAAGGCCACAAATATCATATCATATAGCTCTACAAAGACATATCTTTCAAAATGGTCACTTCTACAATACATCATCTAGCTCTAGATCATCTACATCAACTATAGGAACTGGAAGAGAATTGTCATGGTCAATGACAAAACTTGAACTTCCAATTCTCATATTTATCATTTCTGCATTTATATAAACAAACTAAAAGAAGTATATAATATATAAATATACAAATTGAAGTTGAAAAGGAATACTAAAATACTGAATACATAATTAATGTCGTATCTTTCTCAAACTTTTCAATATCATCTATGTTTTCATGAACTGCAATTGGCTGACTAGGGCCTCTTAGCCAGTTTTCTGTACATATAAGGGCTTTTTCCATTTTAGGAGATAGAGAACTCCTAAAATTATCTAAGACCCTGCTACTAGTACTAAAATTCGACTCAGATGCCACAACTGAAATTAGAACAACAAGTACATCTCTAGCCAATTTCGAAAGGATAGGAAACCTTTCACTGTTAACCTTCCACCATCTTAAAATATAAAAATCGTTTATATAATCTATGGTCAACTCACTTAGATAAAGTTCAAGTTCACTCTTTTTGTTGAGTGAAGCCCCACTTTTCATCTTTTGTTTCTTTAGTTGGCTCTTTAATCTAAATTGTACCCTTCCAACGGGAACATTCTCACACTTAATGGGTGGAGGAGGCATCATAGTGGTAGAAGGTTCGGAATATGTTGAGGCATACCCTTCAAACAACATATTCAGTTTAGACTTTACCTTTTTAAACCATGACTTACCTTCATCCTCACCATACATTTGATTAAGCTGGACTTGCATGTGCTCAACCTTGTCTCTGGGGTCCAATATATTGCCAAAAATATAATGAAGTTCATCTTATCCGGATCACCCCAGTACTTACTAAACGTCTCTTTCATTTTACCACCCATTTTATTGTTAATAAATCAAAAACAAAAAGTTAGTAAACAACCAAATATAAGTAAATATTTAAGGCTAAATTAAAGGAAGATAAACATACCTCTTCAACTTTCAACTTAGTTTGTAACATATCGGCAATAATGCAACTCAAATCTGAAATCTCGGTTAAGAAAGAATTTGAGGTGACATAAAATGAGCCAGAAATTCTAATTGTCACCTCATAAAATGTCTTCAAAATATGACCAATCTGTCAACAGATAACCAATCATGATATGAAGGCATCGAATCACCCAAATCCAAAGTGAACGCGGTGTCACTACTCTCTTACGTTTCAAAAACTTGTATGTAAGCTACTGCGGTTCGAAGCATCATATAGGTGGAGTTTCATATAGTTGGAACATCAAAACATAAAGAACTTTTCTCTTCCACTTCAAGCAATTCTGCAAGCTCTCTAAACTTCTTCAACCTAGATGGAGAACCCCTCACCCACCTAATGCAATTCCTAATCTTCTTAATTGATGTATCTGCTAATTTCAATCCATCTTGTACAACCAAATTTAGAATATGAGCAATGCATCTCATATGTATGTACTCGACCCTAGTAGAAGAACCATGCCACCTCACCACCTTCTTCTTCATGAACCCAACGACAATAGCATTGCTTGATGCATTATCAACTGTGATGGTGAAAATATTTTTTACTCCCCAGTCAAGCAAACAACTCTCTATGGCCTTAGCTATACTTTCCCCTTTATGTGAATGTATAGGCACAAACGAGATGACCTTTTTATTTAGTTTCCACTCATCATCAATAAAATGTGTAGTGACACATATATAATTGATTCTTTGAACAGATGTGTAAGTATCAGTAGTCAAACTAATGTGTTGCATGCTTAACTTAAACAATTTCTTAAGGTTCGTCTTCTCTTCAAAGTAAATACTAAATATATCTCTATTAAATGTCCATCTAGAAATATCTTAAATCTTGGGCATGCAGCTTCAACAAACTGTTTAAAACACGTCCCTTCAACAAACCTAAATGAAGGTTCATCCATTATAATCATTCTAGCTAACATCTTTTGAACAACCTCTTGGTTAAAAACCAAGATGTCAAAGCACCATCACTATTATCAGATTTTGCAGATTGAAATGCAAGAATGGACTGTTTTGTTTCCTTAGCATGTGGCTTCTTTAAACAAGCACACATGTGGCTATTTAAAGACGAAGTACCATGCTTTTTAACCTCGGTTGCATATACTTTTGAACAATATAAACACTTACCTTTAATGACTAGCATATCCTTGTTTAAAATCTTCTCAAAATGGTCCCATACTTGTGATCTAGATTCTAACGTTTTCCTTTTCCTTGTACTTTCTGGAACAGATTAAGTTATGGTAGGATTAGATTGTAAAGGAGGAGGTTGATGATTGTTACTTCCGGATTGAGACATGCTAACTTTTTCCATCTATAATGTGCAGAGAGCTAATATACAGTAAAATAGTGCAGTGTATGCAGGAAATATATATCTATATGACTATATATATATATATATAAGCTAATGTGCAGTGCAGTAAGTTAGAGCTAATAATCATATACAATAAAAGAGTGGAGTGGAGAAAAAAAGTAAAATAGTGCAATATATGCAAGAAATATATATATATATATATATATATATATATATATATTATATAAGCTAATATGCAGTGCAGTAAGTTAGAGCTAATAATCAATTAATCATATACAGTAAAAGAGTGCAGTGCAGGAAGTTAGAGACTTAGAGATGAATAATAACTAAGAGAAAGAATAAGAAAAACACAGGAAATGATGCATAGGATGTACAAAAAGGAAACAATGCATTCAGGAGATGGGTTTACTAGTTTCATGTTTGACTGAGTGTTATGAACACTTGATGCTTTATCTTTGCAAACTGTGAGCAAGTAGCAACTGGCCATGGTGATTGCTAGAAAACTGTATAACTGAGATTAGAGAACGTGCATGATGTTGGACTGGATCTCTTTTATCAATTCAGTTGACCAAAGGGACATAGGAAGAGTTTTATTTTGTATTTGTTCCTCTAGCTCATTTTCACATCAAAATTTGGGGAAACATTAGCAATTAGCAAACTAAATTTGTTGCTACATATTCAATTACTGTAATGGATAAAATCATAAAATCAGCAAAGGTTTTCATACAGTTTCTAGCAGTAGCAATTACCATGACCAACATACAGTTTCTAGCAGTAGCAATCACCATGACCAAATTATCACAAATTCACAATTCGCAATTCATAAACATCATACTTTTATAACAAATTAACGACCATTCAGACATGTAACTAGTCAAAACCATTAACATAATAACTCTCTTATAAAAGCTTCATCCATTTCATAATTGAATTAATCTCAAATCATGTCAAATGTATCACAAAGAGCTTACACAGTTACACTAAGGCAGAGAGTTTAACACTTGAAAGAATGAGTTGAGACTTGATCACTTGAGACTGGAGTTGAGAGAGGCAGTGAGTCACCTCGTTGGTCGGATGGTCGTCTCCTCGTTGGTCGTCTCGTCAGTCGTCGCTCCTCACTCGTCACTCAGTACTTGGTCGTCACTCGTAGTCGTCGCCTCGTCGGTCATCACACAGCCTCACAAGTCACAGGGGATGAAAATTGGAAAAGCCCTAAACCGCTAAAGTCTAAATAGCCCGCTACCCGATAGATAGAATGGCCCTTTGTGTTCTTCAGATTTCGGGCGGGTTCGGGGGAAGGATCTTGATATCCTACCCGATCCGCCATACCCGATATAGATTTCGAGTTCGGACTTTGGATGACATCGGGTAATATTTTTTGGATCGGGTCGGGTTTATTCAGTTGGGTAAGTCGGTTAAATCGGGTAGGGGCGGGTTTTGCACAACCCTACCCTAGGGGCTAGGGTCGTTTACCAAACATTTATCAGGTAGCATTTACCGGCAAAGCTTACATATCATTCTCATTTAGCTTGTCAGGTGACATTCTCGGTCATGAGAATGGATTTTTGGTAAGTGTGTTTGATCCAGTAAGTGCATACCGAGAAAAAGTCTTTTCCCTCACTAGGTTAGATTTTCGGTCATTGGCATGATCAGATAAGATTCTCGATACTTGTCATGCACAATCAATAAGTTAAGTGGTACCCGGTAAGCACTTACGTAGTATGCATTTGGTAAATGGTCCCTAAACTACATTTATGTATGCTCTAGGCTTGAATGTTCGCCTCATCAATACTAAGTTCTTTTTAACTTATTTAAACAGTTAAAATGAATAGGAAGTAGTAAGATTTGAAATTTTGTTATATCAACTGAGAGAAAAAAGTTATACGTTGCACTAATATGAATCAAAACAAACTTGGTTACAATTTAATAAAGTTTGTCACATATGAAACCAACTAGAAACAATGTTGGGTAAATATGATGAGAAAAAATTACCCCACAATATATCCTCATCCGCAAATTGTGGAATCAAATTTAACATCGAAGGTGGTCGTCCAGGGATTAGTCGACTCGCATAACATGTTTGATATCAAGATTAATCAAAAAAAAATATAACATCGAAACGAAATCGAACAACATCTCACTTAATGACCATGAACCACAATGCACATGGTGGGGGTTTAAGATTCAATTGGAGTACTATGGACAAATACGTTTATTTGAATGATAATAACTCGACATGAAAAATATTGAACAGAAAAGTACAAATAAACATCTCTCTTTCCAAACTTGTATCATATAAAGTTTACTATTAAGCTTATAGGATACATAGCAAATTGAAATGGGTACCAAAATGATAAAAAGGTAACTTTTATGTGCATTAATTTGTTTCATATTAAAGCATTGAGAATTCCTTCATAAATCCATGTAAGCATAGATACTAAAAAAACAATTAAAGAATTGAAGTCAAAAGAATAAAGGTAACTTTTAAACCAACCCATCATCCTCTTTCTCTTCCCTCTCCAACCCAAAGACTCTATAAGGAGAATACCTAATCTTTTTGGCTTCTGAAATGGTATCCAGATTAGGTGACCATATTTGAACCCTAGATCGAACTAACTGTTCATACTCCTTTCTGAGCTCTGGTGTACTACATAGAGAACTGTTTGTTGGATTGTTACTAATTGCTGTTCCACCGTTTTCTTGATCATCATCATGACCACCTCTACTCATCAGATGTCTTGCCATAAACTCAGGCTTCACCTTGATCAAAAGTCTCCCATTTGATCCCTTTATGTACTCTAAAGGAACCTCCTTGAGATCGGCTGGTGTTTGTCTCGGTGTATAAGCAGCAAAAGCTGATATCGAAGAAGATGAGAAGATCTCCGATGAAAAGATGTCGAGTGGTAGAACCAAGTAGGTTTTACCAGGCCTGAGCTGCTCATCAATGGATAAAGCCGGGATGGCGTGGCCAACAAAGAAGCGATCGGCATCGCAAACCATGCTCTCTGGGAACTCAAACATGATCTCTCCAGCCAATCGTCCTTTTCCGGTTAGGGTTTTCACGTTTCCTTCCCAATAAATCACTTTCACCGATGCCCCTTCAGTTGCCATGCAACAAGCTCCTATTACATTGCCCATAACGTTATGATGCTCTGCTCTTCAAATGTGTTTAGGTGCAAAATGTGTTAGCGAAAGGAAGATGCAGGTGGGTTTGGATATATATAAGGAAAGGGTGTTTGACTTTAGCAAAATATTGGGAGCTAATGGTCAATGAAGGCCGTCTTTGAACTTATTTATGTAGAGGTTTTTGGATGTTCCACGTTATAACCCAAATTGACATATTTTAGAGATTTCATATTCAATCAATAAACTTTTGTAGCGAATGTGGCTACAAACTGCAATTTGCATGTGGTCGTTGAAGGATATCACCATCTCCAAGCTTCAAGTTGATTTAGTCTCGCATATTTGAAAACGTTTTGGACATGATAACCATAAAAACTAATCACTTCTATTAATTAATTAATACGTTGCAAAGCTAGTTGAATTTGTTAAATTCCTATACAAATTTAATATTTTTATTTTTATCCAATACACTTCCTCTTCCTGTTAAGAGAACATGATTTTTAATTAAATATTTCAAAATTTATACAGATAATTATTCACAAAAACTAATATATCTATACTATATTATAAAGTATTTGACAAAAAACTCTTAAAAACCATTTTTATGTATGAAATACCGTTTATTGATGCATATTACTTAAAATTCAAGATTATAAATAATTTGTGCGCAAGTACAATTGATTAAAGATTCATGATTGAATTTGTGTAACTAATTACAGATAAACATAATCAAATAGATATTTAACATCTCATTTTAAATATATAAAATCTAAAATATAATTAAGATAAT